TCTGTTATGTTCAAGGTTTTGTTCTCTCCAACAGTCAATCAAGTCATTTTCCAAAATCATCTGTAAAACTACTTTAGGACTATTTATTGATTTGTAATTCAAATAATCTATTAATGGATTCAAAACTAAATTATAATCACCTCCAAGTATACAATAATGATCTATGTTATTAAGTTTTTGTTGAATTTGACAATAAAAGTCTGGGTTGTCTCTATTAGGACCATATAAGCAAAAAGGCTAAATGTTTTTGAGAAAATGTTACAATTCAAAATCAAGAGATTGCCATCAGTATCAGATTCTTCAGAAATAAAGTCAAAATTATTATTTATCAGTATAGCCACCCCTCTATACTGACTATTAAAATTGCTGCATTAACATTCAAATTCCCATTGACTTCTTATTAGTTTCATTTCTTTATCTGTAAAATGAGTATCCTGAAGAAAATATATATTAAAATGTTTGGCCCTTAAATAACTAAAAACATCTCTTCATTTTAGTTTATCCCCAAGTCCTTGCACGTTCATTGATATAAAGGAAACATTCTCAGTCATTGTCTAAAATAATTAATACCTTAGTGTTCATTGGTCTAGCATCACACACAGACACACAACAGGTCCTTTTCAATATACTGTATATAATCAATGATCTCACTAGATTTGTTCCATCTATAATAGTAAAGAGTACAACATAGAAAAAGGCCTAAGGAAATAACAAACATGTAAACATAAAGAAATTGAGGATATAATCATTTAACTAAAGGAAAACCACAAAAACATTAAACCAAAAAACAAACAAGAGGGCCATGATGGCCCTGAAGTCGCTCACCTGTATATAGGCCCCCGTAGCGGGGCCAGTTTAAACCCCAGGGCTTTTATTTGAACAAACTTGGTAGACACCCATTAGAAGATGTTTCATGCTAAACATCTAAGGTCTAGCTAGTCAAGTTTTTTCTTTACACATATAGTTAAAAACAATGACACACATGGGGCAGGGCCAGTTTGGACCCGAGGGCTTTCATTTGAAAAATCTTTGTAGACACTTACTAGAAAATGTTTCATATGCTTAATATCTGAACTCTAGCTATTCGGATTTTTCGAAGAAGATCTTTAAGTTTTTGCTATACACATATAAGGAAAATCAATGAACCCCGGGTGGGGCCAATTTTGACCCCATGGCTTTTATTTGAACAAAGTTTGTAGACACTTACTAGAAGATGTTTCATGCTTAATATCTAAACTCTAGCTATTTGGGTTTTTTCAAAGAAGATTTTTAAGTTTTTGTTATACACATATAAGGAAAATCAATGACCCCCGGGGCGGGGCCAATTTTGACCCCAGGGCTCTTATTTGAACAAACTTGGTAGACATCCATTAGAACATGTTTCATGCTAAATATCTTAGCTCTAGCTCTTTGGGTTCTTTAAAAGAAGATTTTTTAAAGTTTTTACTATATGCATATAGGTAAAATCAATGACCCCCTGGGGCGGGGCCAATTTTGACCCCAGGGCTTTTATTTGAACAAACTTGGTAGACACCCATTAGAAGATGTTTCATGCTAAATTTCTTAGCTTTAGCTCTTTGGGTTCTTTAAAAGAAGATATTTTAAGTTTTTACTATATGCATATAGGGAAAATCAATGACCCCCTGGGGCGGGGCCAATTTTGACCCCAGGGCTTTTATTTGAACAAACTTGGTAGACACTCACTAGAAGATGTTTCATGCCAACTTTCTAAGCTCTAGCTCTTTGGGTTTTTTAGAAGAAGATATTTAAAGTTTTTTCTTTTGGTTGCCATGGCAACCAGAGTTCTGCATGGAATAAAATTCTTTGAACAATTTTCAAAGGTGACCACCAAAGGAACATTCCTGTGAAGTTTGGATGAAATTGGCTTAGTGGTTTATGAGGAGATGTCATTTAAAGTAAAAGTTTACGGACGACGGACGGACGACGGACGCCGTACGAAAAGCGATCACAAAAGCTCACCCTGTCACTTTGTGACAGGTGAGCTTAAAACAAAGAAGAATATTTTGTTATTTAAATTTGCGCAATGACAGCTTTAATTCAAGCCCTGACTTAATTTACTGTACTGTATAGGTTTTTTTACATCCTTAGAATTTACATAAAAAATATTTGAAAAATGATAAAATCATAAATGTTTGTACAGTATAGAATCTAGATCTATTTAAATATGGTTTAATAAATACTTAAATTGTATAGATCTTACTCAGTTAAAAGCTTAAGTGTTAAATCTTTTTATTATTATAATAATTTTAAATTAATTCCAGTTATGTATAGCATTTGAAACCATTCATGTACATCTACACAAAAACTATAATAATAATACAAATGTATACCAATACTGTACCCTTCCATTATCTCGGGTCATATTTTGTACTAATCAATAGAATCCTCAGCCATACCATGCTGACTATATACAACATATGGTAATACATGTACTGTAAATATAATAAGACTTTCATTCCCTGATCTAGATTCAAGAAAATAAAAAGAAATCACATTTGAACATTTATAATATCTGACTCTATATTAAGCTACAACAACAGTGCAGTATATGAGTAATAAATACTGTACTAAACTATGAAAGTTATTATGCATGTAGTACAGTACGTAACATTAGGAAACTTCAGCGAGGTTGCGTTGGACATACATGTACAGTAGACTGCAGTTTAAATCTACGTATGAGACAAGAAATAATGCTAGTGCTTATGATTATGCATTCAAATAAAAAATGATACACATGTACTTCAATTTTGTCAAACAAAATGTGTCAAAACCATAGACATATGTGTTAAGGGTAAAAACAGCAGTATCAAATGCATTTATGGTTTGTCGCAACTGTTTAGGCAGTTTGGTGACAGCTATTATTGCTTCAATTATTTTTTTTTACTTATTTTCAAACATGCTTTACTTGATATACAACTATGATTGAAACTTATGTAAAACTGTATGAAGAATGTTTGTTTAAAGTTGACAGTGCAGCAAATAAGGTTCTGTAATTAATTTTCATTGTTGTATTACAATATGGATAATATATTGACAAAAAAGGAAATAAAATAATGAACACAACAGAACTAGCTTTAGTCTATCTCTGAATAATCTGCCAATCCCATCTTAGCTAAGGAAATGCAAAACAATTTGGCGACATGATTATCTGTACAGGTTATCAACTACCACAGCTCTACCGACTGAGCTATCTAACCGCTTACACATTTATCTCCCCTAATTTGTGAATTGTACTGTACTAGTGAGTGAACGTGACAGTCTGCCAAACTATACAGTATTGAAATTTGATCAAGAGAGAACAATGTAAATTGACTTGGAGCTTTAATCCATCATCGTGTAATCTAAAAGGGAACCATATGCCACAGTTACAGAAAAATGTGCAGTCTGATGGGACTGAAACTCAGGACCCTTAGAAGTATTGGACTTTAGCTCAACTTATTCAGCTATTCGGCCACTTACACATTTTCTCCCCTAATATCCTAATATGTGAACACCATGTATAAAAAAACATATCATTCTATTTAATAAGGATTGTTTCTTTGTTATGTCTTAATTTTTGTCTTAATACTTTGCACCTTTCTTTTAGAGAATCATTTTTTTCCATTATGTTCATCGGTTAAATTAAAAGATAATGAAGATAAATGAAGATACATCTATATTAGTCCACCCTTTTTAGCTTGTTGAGCTTATAATTGCTAACTAGTGGGGTCAGGTTTCACAAAATCTTAAGTCTTATGAACACTTGATAAACTATCTATACTGCTTGCAAATACATGTATTTTTTAAGTCGTGTATATACTTGTGATTGAAAGTTGACAATAAATAGTTCTGCATAAGTTTATCAAAACAGCATGTCTCTGTATGCAAATTCATGCTAATTTTTATGATAATTCTAAAAATGTATCTAAATGTTAAATATTGTGAAATGAACAAAAAGAAACAACGAAGTTTTTTTGCACTGCCCAAAAATTACCAAATAGGAGATCAAAATAAGCAAAACAAAAGCCTTATCACCTTTCACTGCTTAAGTGACACAGAAAGCTATGGACTTTAAACTTCATAGATTGATAGATCTCATCGAGAAGAAGCGTAATGCACAAGAACTGGTACTCTGTACTTTATTATTTTAGAGTTATTGTCCTTTGTTAATTATAAAACTTTATTTTTGTCCGGGCGGATACTCCTACACTTTAAAAGACTTGAAACGTCATAGGATGATAGATCTCATTGAGAAGAAGTGCAGTGCACCAGAACGTGTACTCTACACTTCATGAGTGTTTTAGTTATTGCCCTTTGTTAATTTTCTTACTAAATAGGCTTCTCTAGAGCAAAACTTAGTCATTATAAATTTGATTTGCTCCAAATTTGATATGTAAGTTTTTATCATTGCCCTGAAGTGCAGTGCTTCAAAATCCATCACAGAGTCCTCCATTTGATCTGTCGGAGTAAATCTTTTCCATGGAATTTTCTTTTGAAAATATAACAGTTTTATTAACTCTGATATAACATTGGTACAATCAGTTAAAAAGTCACCAAAGTTCAAGGTACATGTACATTGTTAGAGCAGTGTTTATAAATAACCTATATTTAAAAAGAAAATGCCTAAGTGACAGCTATACTGTTCACAAGGCGACACATCCGACTCGCGGGGTTCTAGTGAAGAAGGAAATTTTTGTTGGCTTCCCCCATTTCTCTTTGTAAAACTGTATGTTTTTATGGCGAGGCCATTTTTAAACAAACTCGACAGAGGTCTTCTGGGTTAATTAGGCCTCGTGCAAGATATGAAAGCTCTTGGCCATATGGTTTTGTATTCTTGTATCATAAAGTTTAATGAAGACCTTAAACTGTGTGTCCTGTTGCAATTGCAGATAATAGACAACCACTGATTTTTACAGCTATGTTATGGGTAAAATAGATATTACAATAACAGATTCACGATAGACAACGAAGGGGAACACTCCCTTGCACCTTCGCGATGGCTTAAGCAGTATTTAATTGTCGACAGCCAATACATAGGAATCATCGATTTTTTTTTCTAACAGAGTGGCTATGTCTTTAACATGTGAACAAATAAGAAGATGTTGAAAGTACATAACAGCATGATAAGTATTTTGTCTTTTACATTTTGTTCTATTTATTCTACAATTAATATAAAGTCCGCACACTTGCCTCCAAATATAATTAAGTAATTCCGATTAACTGCCCTTCACACGTTAAAGTTTGTTCATGTCAACGTCTCCTACAATGTTGAAAATGTTAGATTTATCACTTTTAACAGCATTTTGTTATCTTCAAATCAAATAAACTGATATACATAAGTTTTTAACATTTTTTATCCACGTGTGTTTTTAGAATAACGGCTTAAATCTTCGAAATGAATGTAAATTTAAAGAAATTGACAGATCATTGAATATTAGCGAAGAATAATTATAAAAAATAAAATTGTAAATACATTTACATAATAATTGTAAACGAAAGCATTTCAAGTAACTACTACAACTTATAATGCTTTTGATAAAACAAAACATAGTAAAGTACATTGTAGCAAGTATGTAAAATAGAATGACTTTACAGTTTACACTTGTGATTGACATGCGCTATCACTAGGAGTATTGTTTAAGTCCTGATGCACGAATTTGTTTAATGTTTCGGCTACATTGTCTGCATTTGGTACGTTATATATTTCATTACCAACCGGAAAGAACCATTCTGTTATGCTGTCTAATTCCGTTTCTATATCTATATCTCTTTTGTCATCTTTCACCTTATTTTTCTCTGTTTCTTGTTTCTTACCATGCTGAACCTGGGCTGTCCCTATTTTTTCTTCATACTTCAAATCATGTGCATTTAATGTGTTGTTGTTACTGTTACCTCTTTTGCTTTTCTCAGAATCAAATAACTGATCTGAAGAGTTTTGTTGGAGACTTTGTTTAATATTGAAGTGTTCTTCACATTCGTTCATGTCGGGGCATGATTCGATAGAAGAACCCTTTTGACAATTAACTTGGAAATTTTGCTCGGCATTATTTTCTTTTTCAGCATTATTCCTTACTCTTTTGACATCTTTATTCTGAAATGTATATGTATTTAAAGTGTATACATGTTTGGATTTAGAAATGAAAAAACTATTACCTATATGTTGTATCAGGTCAGTGAATAAGTCTATGACAGATCATTTATGTCCATTTATAATGTATAACAAACTATAACTGTAGTAAGTGAATATAATGCAATTAAATGAAACATTTTAAAGAAGCCATGAACCTAATGACTTAAAAAAAATTAACTGCAGATTTAAGCTAAAAACGTTTTCAGATCACAATATATAAGAGGGCCATGATAATCCTTAGTCGCTCACCAGAAACAACTGTTTTTTCAGTGTTGGAAATTATTTTTCAAATAAACTTGCTGAAAGGCAAGTCAAGTTCTTTCGACAAGTTCAGCTCAACTTCAACTTGCCCCTATTGTTATATACTTTCACTGATTGTTTGGCTTTTTCTTCATATGAAACAATAGGGCCACTTGAAAGATGTAGCATAAACAGAGAATTAATGACCACTACAGCAGGGTTTATTTTGATGGGACATTTTTTTAATAACTTTTGTGAATGCATACACAAATTCGCATGCAAAATATGTTAGGTGTAGATGTTTGAAGTTAACAGTTTGGGACAACACATTTTTATACATTTAATATGGCATCATAACTGTGCCTTACAAAAAAGACAATTAGTCAAACAATATAAAAAATATCAAAAGTAGGCCAGCTAATATCAAAATTCAACTCGGAAACAAAAATTACACACATGGCCCAAATTTCAAGTCTGTACATCAAAAATTCAAGAAAGTTGGACAAGCAATATAAAAATATCAAAAGAAGGTCTGTTGATACCAAAATTAAATTCGGCATCAGAAATTACACCCCTGGTCGAAATTTAAAGTAAAAACACTAATAAGTAGGTCCAATGGTGTCAGTAATATCAAAAGTAGGTCAGCTGATATCAAAATTCAATGCAACATTAAAAATTACACAAATTTCATCCTTGGCTGTACATAAAAGACAAAAAATTAGGTCAGGCGATATCAAAAGTATCAAAAGTAGGCCAGTTTATATCAAAATTCAATTCAGGATCAGAAATTCAACCCCTTGTCTAAATTTTAAGTAGGTACATCAAAAAACGAGAAATTAGGTCAAACAATATCAAATAATAATATCAAAAGTAGTCTGTTGCTATCTTAATTCAATTCACATCCTGCTCCAAATTTCAAGTCTGTTCATTAAAAAAAAACAAGAAAGTAGGTGGAATGGTTTCAAAAATATCCGTAACAGCTCAACTGATACCAAAATTCAATTATGAAAATTATGAACCTTCAGGTTCAAAAGTATGTCCCAAAATTTATTGAAATGCGCTTTGTCCATGTTTGATTTCAATTCAACAAAACATACAACAATTTTTAACAAAATTCAATGAAAATATTGAGCATACAAACTCATCTTTGTCAGTAAGGTACAGGAAACAAATGTAATGTTTCTTAAGGCCTAATTATATTTCCTGGGAAAAATTCTCTACACTGAGTGACCTACATCTGACCCTACAATGATGCAATATTGTGTCCAAAGAGCTGAAAAACACATTATTTTAATGTTACTTAGGTTAAGAAGATTGCACTTGTGAACACTAAATAGTACCAGAAATACATATTTTTTTCTATGAAATATCTATGAAATTCTAACTGAATATGTCTTATTTGGAAAAAAGAGTTAAAGAAATATGTATGTGAAGTTGCATTCCCTATTATAGGCCAAGTAAAGTTGGCCTTTTCTGTAAAAAAGGCATTTTTTAATGACATAATTTATTCCACATGGTAGCCCTTATACGAAGGTTTTTCGTGAGGTAAAAATGTCTTAATAAAGGTGGCTGCCATTTTGTCTAATAGGAACTATCTCAGTTTTCATTTTTATCTCGTATTTTCTTTTACAAATACAATTAAAGCCCTTAAATGAAACATACGTTACTGTCGCCAACCAGAATTGTCAAATTTGAAATTGTGTTTCAGAAAAGTAAGTTCCAGAATAAACGAAACATGTGCAATTAATCATTTCTGCAAGCATATGCACTTTGATTATAAGTAAGAAAAAATATATTTGATCGTTAAAACCTCATTGATATCAGGGATGATTAAATTTGCAAAATGCATATAAATAAATAGTAACAAACTTAAAACAATTACAAACTACACAGAAATTATATAACTGAAACAATGCATACTTAAAATTTCAGCATGTGTATAATTAGAAGCAAAATTAAGCTGACAGCCTCTTAAATATCATTCTGTTTTCAAAAATTTTCATTTTTAATTCAAATCTTTTTCAACAACATTTTAAAAAGAAACATACGTTAACAATGTTTTAAAGCTAACCCATTTAAGGAAGACTCTAAACAAGAAAGAAAATAAACATGTATGCAATTTTGATATATTAACCACAACTTATGGCTCCGTTTTACAACCCACTTTCAATGTAGAAATAAAACATACGTTACAGAAACATACGATACCAATTTTTAAAAGTAATTTTATCAAAAGGGAAATTCAAGCCATAAAGCACGTATAAGGGCAAAATCAACATCAATATTAATTTTACTTAATAAGTTAGTAATTTTTTTTAATTTTGGTCGAGTTTTAACTTGTTTAAGTAACAACAGTGAAACGTACGTTACTTTTATCAAACAGACTTGATATTGTTTACACATGCAAATATAAAAACATTAAATCGCGTTTTTATTACAAAAGATTACATATGATTTCTAAATTATAGAGTCGTTTTTACAAGTAAGTTTTAATCATGTGATAGATTTCATAAATACGCCAGTGTGAAACATACGTTACTCCAACTTACAATTCAACATATTTTGAAAATTAAAGATAAAGTTGGGATAAGCATGCCTATTAGTAACGGTTACCTTGTATTAGATGTAAGAAGATACAAAAGTGGTTTGCAAAGAAAAGATATTTTTTATTATATGTTGATGTACAAGCAGAAATGTTAAAAATATATCACAAGCTGTTGAAGTTATTTACAACAACTAATTCGTTTCTGCAAAGAGCTTACTGGCCGTATTTCATTCTATATATTAATGAAAAATAATATCCAAAACTATAAATTATTTTACAAAAATACAATTGTTTTTTTTTAACCTTTTATGAAATGAAACATAAGTGACATGTTATATGGGTATACATATAACTGTATTGTAATAATTTTTCCAAATATGAAGAAAGTGGAAAGCTGAACATTTTGAAAAAAGTTGCTTAATACAACATACATTTGCGTATGCATTCGACCTTTTACATATAATATATGATAAACATGTATATCCTTTTAATGAAAACATAAAATAATCATTTCAAAAATTGACTCTTTTTGCTTTCTACTAATATTTAACTTTAAACAAATAAACTGGAAATTAGCGAGGTACCCAACTTCCTTGAAATTTCCTGGGTTAGAAAGTCACTCTAGATAGAGAATTTACAGATTTTGATATATTTTACAGACATTTGTTATTTATATGCAACCAATATATTACATTATTAGATCTGAAATCTACGTTACAAAGGTAATACAGTGTCATTACCGAAATAAATGTCATCCTGCTATATTATTGTTTCTTGTTGAAAATTTTTCAGGAAACTTGCAAAATACCCTAAACTTTTATTTAGGCGATAAAAATGAAACAATGACAACATCAGATTTTTTTTTATTTTCCAACCTTAAATGCTTCATTTTATTGAGAATGGGCGAAGAATGCTACAAACAAAGCTTGGTGTTCATCCATCAATAAGTTCAATTAGTTCTGTAGAAGAAAACGTTTAAAAAAATTCTTTTTTAGCTTTAGCGGCCCATAAAAGGGGCCAAACAAATTAATATAAGCACACTTGATAAAAGACTTTTTAAGAATGCTACAGACAAAGTTTGGTTATTATCCTATTATCCATCAATTATTTCAGTAGGAGATGATTTTCAAAGGTTTTTCTATTTTTAGCTTTAGCGGCCCCTAAAATAGGCCAATCAAATAAATATAAGCCAACTTTATAAAATACTACCTAAGAATGCTACAGACACAGTTTGTTGATCATCCATTCATTAGTTTTGGAGAAGCCGACGTTAAAAGGTATTTCTTAGCTTTTACGGCCCCTATAAGGGGCAAATCATATTAATATGAACAAATTTGATAAAAGACTACCTAAGAATGCTACAGACAAAATTTTGTGATCACCATCCAATCAGTTCTGTAGAATCACACATTTAAAAGTATTCTTATTTTTAGCTTTAGCGGCCCTTAAAAGGGGCCAATCAAATTAATATGAGCAAACGTGATAAAAGACTACCTATAAATGTTACAGACAAAGTTTGGTGATCATCCTTCAATTATTTCAGTAAGAGAGGTCTAAATGTTTTTCTTTTTTTTAGCTCTTACTAGAGACCCCTAAAAGGGTCCAATCAAATTAAAAATGAGCAATTTTGATACAAGACTATCTAAGAATGCTTTAGACAAATTTTGGTGATAATGCATAATTTAATTTAGTAGTATAAGATGTTTAAAGGTTTTTCTATTTTTAGCTCTATTGACCCCTAAAAGGGGCCAAATGAAATGACATGAGCAAATGTAAGTGTAACTGTCACAAGGATGTTACAGATCAAATTTGAGGTAAATCTGCCCATCAGTTTTAGAGAAGAAGATGATTGTTGACGCATGACGACGACGGACGCCAGATTATCCCCTTTTGATACTAATAGCTCACCCTGAACCTTCGGTTCTGGTGAGCTAAAAATCAAATCATACTTTCATTTGTTCAAATTTGATGAACAATAACGTGGTGTTATCACATTCAATTTTCTTTTCATCCAAATGTTTTAGCAGCTTTGGTCGTGCGACATTACCGTAAACAGCTAAATCATCGAATACCTCTTTCCCAATACAAAGACTTGTCTTTCCCGATTTTATTATATATAAGGTTTCATTTTCCTTTGTTTTTGTTTGATGGGCTTTACAGAAGCCTTCGTATGTAATGGATAATACTATTTCTTTGCTTACATGACATTCGTTAGAAATAAGGTCTATAACAAAATCCATAAACATTTTATAATCATTTTGGAGAATTGGCATAGAATCTGCTTTCAGATCGTCTTTGAAACGACGAATGAAATACTCTTCCAATGCAATCATTTTATTTTGCTGAGTAGTTGATTGATCTTGCTTTCTTTTCCTTATTTGCTCTCGGTCGGCAATATTTGTATCATCACAATTAAATTCAGTTTCAATACTGTTTTTGATTAATTGTACGACAGTTTCCTCCTGATTGGAAATTTCCTTTGTAGTACGCCTAGAACAGGACGGAAAATGTGCCGATTGGTAGCTACGAGTTGAACGGACAAATATTCCTCTTGAGCAATTAGAGTTGCCTTGTACTTCATCATCATGTAAGGCCATACACTGTTGAGAATGTACAATGTTGCTCCCAAATGTTCGGTCTAATTTGTTAGGGACTAAAGGGGGACACCTTGGCGTTGCCACTTTTATTGGGGGGTTCCTGAAAGAAAACAAATAGAAAACAATAAATGTAGATTATAAACTTAGAGACATTTTTCTCTCATAGTCGTGTACATGTATATATTACGCATGATGTCTTATGCGATAAACAGACATTTCGTCTATCACTTAAGTTAAGTGTTACAACGCCAAAGTGCGTCAATGAAAAGCTTACGGAGCCCCTAAGGTGACATTTTCCGAACATTTTTCCCTGGACCTAATTCTCTTTTTACGAAAAATAGTTCTTAATTACGAAATACAAATAAAATCAAATAAAGGAATATCATTTAAAAACGGACTAAATAGCGTTATGGTTGTTTGACAATGTGCGTTATCCTAGGTGCCACCTATTCATATTTCAATTTTCAAGTCAATCTGTTATTTTGTTTTCAAGTTATGATCCGGACAAAAATGTAGGATGGAACGACAGAGGGACGGAGGGATGGATGGACAAACACTAAAACTATACCCCCGCCGCGTTTCGCAAGAGTTTATTATGGGTTACTCGGCGTAAGCCATGGACAACCTCTTTTCAATTTGATGAGACAGCGTGCTTACCAGATCTCAAGAAATTTTATGTATTATTATGTTTAATGTACATTGTGACCTTGACATTAAACCTACTGATCACAGTATCTGAAGGGGCTGTCTAGTAATCATTAACAATCGCGATACCTGCATGCAGTAATGAGGAAAGCAAGCAAAATATTATAATTAAGTAATTTGCTCGACATAGAGTTTAAGTTGAAAATCATAATGAGCTTGACATAGGACCGACTAAACTCACAATCAAAAGGGGGTCATCTAGAAGCGTGGATTAACCTTGCTAGCCACGTAATATAATGATAATAAGCCTAATGGCTCTCAAGTTATTGTATTTGAGTAAACAGGGTTTTTGAGTGTGAAGTCAGTCTCAATCCAAAATATCCTCATTTTCCCTTTTTTTGAAAAAACATATTCCCAAAAGCTGGCAAACAAATCAAAATGTTTACAAGCTATATAATTACTTTCTTTTATCATACACATTAGTAAAGCTTGCCTTAAGATTTTAACGAAATAATATATTCCTTAAATTTATGTATGGACACTGTGTGATCATAAAAACATGATACTTGCTATAAAACACAATAAAATCGACAGAACGAAACAAAAAAAATCTATTACCGACGATTACTTTAAATTACGATACAAAGTACTGGTAAATCAGTGCGTTAAAGTATAAGACATGTAAGACTTAGGAAGAAAAGAAATCATTATTTATACTGTGTTGACCTGTCAAGAACTTCTTTATAAATATTATTAAAACTCTTAAATTTGAGACAATTTTCTTTTATTCTGTCATCTGGAGGCGAGCCCCATCTTTAAGGTAGCTTTTATTTTTTTTAAATAAAATGCCACATACTTTTCCCAAATTAAAAACCAGGGGCCTGGTAATATAGCGGAAAAGGCCCTGCATGTTTTTAAATCTAGGTCATTCAGATATTAACCAATGACGACTGACCAAACAATCAATAGGGGTCATCTACTGGCCAGGGCCTCACTAGCATCTTCCCTCGCTAAATATAGACAGTAAATGTCATAGGTATCAAGTTATTGAGCCGTCAAGAAAACGGATATTGTGCCTATTGTTATTCCGTTTATTCACAGGATTTATTTGGTAAAAAACAAATATTAATTCGTATTTACGAATGTCGTATAAATAAATTAAGCTCGGTGAAAATGTGTAGAAAATGTCACCTTATATTCGTTTTTACTTTAAACAGTTCTTATTTTAGTATGCGACAAAAAAACCATCATATTTGAATAGTTTTACTTCTGAATCTATTGATCCCGTTTAATGAAATATTGTGATACACTGTGTGGTTTATTTACAACATAACCTAATGTGATGTCAGAGGACATAACTCTGAACTGACATAATGCGACCACACATTTAGGAATTCTGGCATTACCAAACGACCTTCAAGCACATACCGGTAACTAGTTTTAGTTTATAAGGTATAATGTATTAGATTAATAAATTGAATTTTGATTTGCTCGGTATGATAGAATAAACACCACATCCGACAGATTTCACCTTTGACAAGAAAATGTCAACCGAGGTGTTGTCTAGGTTGAGCAGTTCATTCAGTTGGATGTCATATGATATATTGTCCAAGCCAGAAACACGCATATAATGATTTTATTCAACTCGTTCAATAAATTTTGTATGAAACATAAACTCCATCAATATCCTCTCTATATCATCCTACCTGATCTATATTTTATACATACATACTTTTTGCTTGGAATGACATATATTTTAACATTCAATGCTATCAATTTATCAGAATAAACTAGAGCAACGATATACGTCCGAATGTAAATTTGTCTGAGTAATCAAAATTAAGGGGAGAGACTTCATTTATTAAAACACTTAAGAACTTAAGAAGCTTGTCTACAATTTTTTTTTCTTGACTATCCTTATGATACTATATTTTTACCCTAAATGTATGATTCAAAATACTTTTTAGAGGTCTATTAGAAAATACTATTTGATAATTATGGCTATAAGAGGCAAAACATTTATCCCCCAAAAGATAAGATATGATTTGTTATATAATACATAAGGCAAGTGCCTCCCGGGCCGGGCCAATTTTGACCTGAGGGTCATGACTAAAATATTATTTATGTAAAAATATACGAAAATTGATACTACATGCCAAATATCTAAGCTCTGGGCTTTATAGTTTCTCACAATATGACTTAAATGTGTTCTCCTATAATCAAGTGACCCCAGGGTGGACGAAATTTGACCCTAGGTGCATTATTTATAAATAAAATTCATAAGATGATGTTACCTGCTAAATATCTTGACTATAGCCACAAAAAAGACTCCTACATACTAACCCCCCTCTCTGTGGGACAAAATTGACCCCAGAGGCATGATTAATTATTTTGTTGTCCATTGATTGATGTTACATGCCAAATATGATGAAATATCTAAAGGCTTAGTAGTTTCTATGATGTTATTTTTTCCTATATAAGTCTTTTTTTATAAAATAAATTCTTGGGCGGGGCCAATATTTGTAAAGATAAAAAAAGACAGTGCAACATGCAAAATATCTAAGCTCTAGACATTGTAATTAAAAACCATGGAGTTTAATAGACTATGTCTGTGTAAATACAATGAAACTTAAAAGTGTTTTCCAATATCACGGTGTGTAATCGTTTCGGGCTGATTTGGAATATTGCCTCGTTCCTGAACTGATTTGTATTTTTTGCACCGGATTGGATTTTCAGCTTGACGAGGTAACAAAATATAAAAAAATAAACACATTTACATTTTTTAGTCTTTGAATATTCTATTTGCACGGAACATTGCAATGTTTAAGGAATTCATATACAACTTTATGAGGTTTGTTAATGGTCTTTTATTAGTTGGAATCGAAAAACAAATTTAATATGTCAGTGAAGTAGCAGTAAACACTAGAATAGAATTGTCGAAAGTCATTATTATCTAAAATTTTTCATATATTTAATGAGCTTTTTATAGATAAAGATCTTCCAGCGTTAATTTAGTGGTTTTAGTAAGATGCTTTGTCTAATAATGAATTTGTAGTACGTATAATTATGACAAGGTTCCGTGTATTTCTTAGGGCACCGGATTGTTTTATATTAAGGGGCAAGAAGTCAACGGGCTAACTGTAGGCTTGACGCTCATTGCAACTCTTACTCAGTCGCCGGTTAATAATGTTGAACAAAGGCACTTCCCTTAAATCTACCTTTTGTACGTACATATTAAAATAATAAAATGCCAGAAAAAATCTAGATTTAGTTGCAAATTTCATGCAATTTTATAAGAAACTATTGATATATTTGTAGTGTTATTTAATACAGAGGAACTGGGATATAAGTACATAGCAAGAGTAGCGGTAGTACATGTGGATCTAACGATTTTAGATGTCCGTAATGTGTTTCTTTAGAAAGTGTTAAGGCACAAATAATCACTATCTTGAGACTATGTGCTTATGATATACATGGAACAACATCAAGGTCATGGTTGGTAAAAGGTCAAGAAGTACACATTCATGTTCACTGCGGAAGGGGATTAAGCTGCTCCTCACACTACCTTGTTTATAGTATTAAAATAATAAAATGTCAAAAAATATTCTTTATAGTTGCAAATGCCAGTAGGTAAAGTCAAAGCAACATACGTTTATATTTGAAACTATCTACAGATTTATGTAAAAGTGTTGCATACTGCAGAGGAATTGGGATATAACTACATACTAAGTGTAGCGATAGTAAATTTTTTTTCCCGGCAATAGTCTGTCTACCATATTATTTTCTTTGAATCGGGACAAATGAAATAACTATACTGGAAGCTAAAAAGAGGAATTGTTTTTGCAATTTAGTGCAATGTAATGCAGAAGTTGGCTTTTCAAAACAATGTATACTATAACATATAAAAATATAATGGTCAAAGAGGCTGATGACGTGTCAATCTTATAATATTGATAAATCCATGTAAAAAGATTTTTCCTGTTTATAATTCATAGGATCTTGTCAGACTTTGTAACTGCGATAATCTGTTTTTTAGAATTGAAATGTTAGATCTAGAGCATATTTCCACAAATTGACAACTCAATATTTACGCTGCAATACCCATCAGAAATAGTCAATAAAGACGTGTTTATACAGTATATATGTTAATGCATTTACGGTTCTAGATTGTTTGGTGTTTTGGGTCTGCTTTCGGCACAACCTTAACCCATTACAATACATATTTTCAAAACTCATTATTAGATAATAAATATCATGACATGAATGGTAACTATAAGAAGAGCCGAACAGACTTTTTTTCTGTTGTAGGACAACATAACTCGACATTTTTTTTCGACAATGAGTTCCATACATCTATAGTAAATTCTAATATATGTACATAGGTATATGGAAATATCTCCAAAGCAAGATCGTTAATATTAAATATGTTGAATAGTAAGTAGGACATAGAACATC